CACGACTTGTCCTCGAACCAACCAGCCAGATAGTCAGGTCCTTTGTCAACTCGTCCATCCACTTACAGCTACGAGACCTCCCTCCCACCTTGAGCGAGAAGTCCAGTAAACCACCACAAAGCAGAAGTAAAAGAAGAAAAGAAAATCACCATGTCCGGATACGTCAGAATGGGCCGCGGGGGTGCGGGCAATACGTTCACCCAAACCGAACTCGAGAAGAAGGTACAGTAAAGCAACCCCGCCATTAGCTACATACATGTAGCCAGCTAGAGTAGTACCCTACTGCAGGCAGACAGGCGGAGCAGATGAATATCCAATTCAACGGACTAACAAATATGTAGGAGGAGGATATCGAGGCCCAAGAGCCCAAAACTGCGTATAACGACGTTGGCGTCGAAGAGACATCCCCGCCTCGTCCTCCGGCAGGGTACAAGCACATGTAAGTAGAGCCGGCCGAGTACATAACTCCCCAGGCCGGCCTTCCTTTCCTTTTTATTTTTTTGCCAACTAGCCAGCTGTCCGCAATATTTGCTTTACTTTGGCTAGCAGCTGCTTACAACCCGCAGGGGCCGCGGCGGCGCCGGTAACTGGTTCGTTCCCTCCGAACTCGCCGGCGGCGTTCTCTCCGACCAATCTGAAGCGCCAACGCCCGAGCCGCCGGCCGAGCATGGTCAATCCGTACGGATATGGCGAGGTCGGGGTGGTGCGGGAAACTATGCTGCCGATGCGCCGCAACAAATTGAGGGTGTCGAGAAGGCGGAGGCGGAGCGGGCAAAGGCCGAAGAAGCGAAGGTCAAGGCGGATGTGGAGCAGACGCTACAGAAGCCCAGGCAAGCGCACATGAAGAATGGGGAGAAAGGAGACCCTGAGCTTGGGTGGAGAGAGGCGGGGTTGTAGAGTGGGGCGGTGAAAGAGGGGTGGGGGTCTCTAATTAACCCCAATTGTGTGATGGCGGTCTTTTTTTTTTGTTCATGAACTCCTTTCCGGTGTCGAATTGACTGGGCAATTGTGCCTTTTATTGTTTCTTAAGATCTTCTTTCCCCCTAACTCTCTTCTCGTGATATACGGCAATAGAAGATTTCCCTTGAGAAGTAAGGAGCGTTTCCCCTTGTTTCAGAGAAACTTTGAAGTCTCTTTTTTTGTATTCAAGGTTTCAAAGTAATGTACCACGAGTGTGCCAATACCGGAAGAAACGATTCACTTCACATCAATTCCACATCCATGAGTTCAATCACTCTCTAGCTCGGCCCTGGGGAACCGCTGATAGATTTTTGCTTTGTCACAGGAATTTACAACTCCCCAGCCCTAGAGGTCTTTGCAGTGCATTATCGTCAACGTGTACCAGTTCCATCCCCTTCCACACCCCCGGTGCCCTCGAGTGATGTTGAAGGAATTAAAGCCACATCACAGTTCTAGGCCCTTTAAATCCAAATCGTATCATACATGTCGAGTCTATCCATCCCATCTAGCAGTGGCATGGTGCCGCCTGTGTCGGACTTCTCATCACCAGACATAATCCATCTCCAGGACCGGGGGAGAAGAAAAATAAAATTTCAAGCTGTTTACTCACATCATCTCGCCATAAAAAACTTTTTATCTATCTCCTACGGGTAATCTTGCTGATCATACAGGGCAGAGCAGGCAATCGCTACGCTGCATGATGCATGTACTCGACATGGATAATGGTAGGCTGGCTGCCTGCATGCGGGGGTGGAAACGATTCTGAACCGCACCGACAGTGGGTTGGGTTGTGTGAGTCTCACTCATGATCAACTCAGGCAACATTTTTTTTTTCCTTCCATCAGAATACACAAAAAATGTTTCGTTTCATCCGTCGAGATTGAAGATCTGCCCTTTAGTTCACTTGCTCCAGCTTAGTTCTCCAGATTGTGAAATTAATAGGCATCCGTTTGAAATTGTTTATCTATGATGTTTTGGTTTTACCCCCGCCGGCACCGGGAATATGGTGTTTTGCTGTTTACCCATAAACCTAACCCGACCTTACCCAACCCACCCTACCCATGACATCGTTCCCACCACCACTACCCAAGGGACAACCCTCTACCGTTGCCGGCCGTTTTGACAGCTTGTTTTGCAGCCTTTCCGTCCGTATGTACGGCTAGTTCCTCCGCGCAGCAAGATCTAGATAACTAAGCCCTGTGCTGTGCAGTTTTCGGTTCATAAAGTGGGCGCTGATAAAGACCAGAAAAAAAAATACTAAATTGCGACATCATGTCAAATAAAAAAAAAGTTCGGAAGAATTGGGGATCATCGGTGCACCGTGATATTATTCTCCCGGGGACACAGCTAGAGTAGAGTGCAACATCACACGCAGATAGATAGGTAAAGTTTCCGGTACGGGGCACGAAGGCAGTTTTGTTTGCAATCGTCGGATCTCCCACTCTTGGGTGCTGTGTTAGTGTTGAAGCTAGCTCGTGCGTTGGTTTTAAAAAAAGTATAAGCTTCTGGGATCGTCATAGGCACAGGAACCTGAAGTTTTTTTTGTGGATCATGGAGGCGTTTTTGATTTTCGCTTAGCTAACTAGAGCTCCTGTTCGGGTTGATGTGATGTGATAGACATCCATCGATGTGTTGGTGGGTTTAGGTAAAACACCAGAAGCACGAACCACGAGCCATTCCTAAATCAACGTCCCCCAGGTTCAAAGGTTTTGAGTACCTAGAGGTTTGCCTGTTATGGAGGAGTATCAATCACCGCCAGAGCACTGTAGGGCCTCTCAATGCTTTGAAATAAAACATACGGAACCGGACCGAGCTCCCAAAGATCTTGCCGAGAAACTCCCCCGGATGTCTGTCCGTCCCGTACTCTAGAGCAATTAATAGCTTTCCAGGTTCTGTCTTCCGAGCTCCGAAATCTTGGTTGACTGTGCTAGCTGGGGGGGATATCTCGTTGCCCTTGAGAGCCCTTTACCTAGCTGCTCTAGCATAGCTATGTCAGTTCCGAAGCTGGGTTTCTGCCGGCGCTGCACCGATTTACCGGGTTTAATTAGAAAGAAAAGAAAGAGAGCCGAAACGATACGACATGATCACCAGCTAGAGTACGGGTGATCATAAAAGAAAAAAAAAGATGGGGAAAGCAGAACAAAGGAAAAGAAAGCTTTTCATTCTTTTTTTTTTTCCCTCTCGTCAGGAAAAAAAAGTTGAATGATCGATTGCTCGGATCATCTGATTTGTTCCTGGGAGCACCAGCAGCAAGCAGCAAGCAGCATGAGGAAAAAGGTGGGGTAGGTAAGGTAAGGTAAGGTAGGTGTCCCTCCCCTTCGATTCGAGCTGGTTCCTGTTCTCGGCCTTACGTGCATGGGGTTGAAGGAAGTGTGTGCACTTTTTTTTTTCAAAATTTGAGTCTTTTTTTTCTCTGCCCTGCCGTGGGGAAGAGGAACGAAAAGGTTGTTGACGAAGTTTGGTTGGAGGACCTGTTTTTTTCCCCTTCAGCCAGCCAGACCAGCCAGGGACGCTCTCCTGTAGGAACCACGGAATTGAGAAGCGGGAGCTTCTCAATTGAACATATGCAGAAGCAGAGCAGTAAAAAAAATACCCCCCCTACCCAAGCTCCACCAAGTCCTAGATGGAATTTGATGAAAGAGAGAGAGAAGCTAGGAGCTGGGAAACAAAAAAAATTATCAGCCTCGTGATCGCACAAAATTGAATTTCTATATGAGTAACCGACCCTTGACGATACGATACGTGAGTGCACCATACCATGCCATGAATAAGAAAAAAAAATCTTGGACACAGGCAGAAGTCCAGTCTGACTGGAATCGTGAACGTGTTCGCCGCGCATCCCTCCCTTCTTGGATCCGCATTCGATCTCTTTCTTCACTCATACCGTACCCCGGCTTCCCAGCTCCGTTCATTATCCCATCATCCAGCACCTTTTTCTCCTCCTGCACTCTCTTCTTCTTTTCTCTCTTCTTGCCATTTTGTTCCTACTCGGTGCACTCACTCACTCGACCAATCTCACTCTCACTCGCTCACTCTACTATTACCTCGGATCTTCTTCTTTTTTCTTATTGATATTATTATTACTATTCTTCCTGCATTCCTTCCTTCCCTCTCCCTCATTTCCCTCATCACCATCATCAATCCTCATCACTATCATACAATACACCCCCCATTGCATTGCATCTTCTTCTTCATCTTCTTCATATAAACAAGACCTGTCTGTCATCTCCCATCTAGCTAGGAAGCATCGGACAGACAGACAACCTTCATCCATCCCGATAAGGTTACACAAGGGAATTGAAACACCACGTCCAATTCAACCAGGCGCTTTCCGCTTTGAGCGAACGACGGTTACGTTCTAGGCGTCCGGATCCGATAGTGAATTCTTTGTGGAGGGTCTGAGATTTTTTTCTGGATTACTTTTTTTTCCAGCTCCTGGGATTCTTCTTCTTCTTCCCCCTTCTTCTACTACTTCTACCACTTCTACTACATACATTCGTACGTACGACAAACAAAATCAATCGACGCGGCACTTATATATATATTTCCATTCTAGCCAGCAGCTTACCTTACCTTACCGGAACCATCTAGCTACTACAACAACAACCGAAATCAACGTCGGAAGATAGCTACAGGCAGCTTGTTTTGGGTTTCATCGGCAGGGGTATATTTTCTCAGCTCAGTATTATTTGCGAGCAAGCACCTGGGGTGGAAGATCATCACACTCACACACACACACACAAGCACATCGCAACGAGGCAGAAAGAAATAAGGGATAGAAAAATAAAAGGAAAGAAAAAAATCATAATAACTCAATAATAAAAAGAGGGCAACCAAAGCAAGCAAGCAAAGATTCACTTCTTTTTGAAAGCTCACTGCTAGTTACACGAATCCAGGAAAGAAAAGAAAAGCAAAAAACAAGGAGGAGCTCCGCCTAGTCTCGCGCCTAATCCCATTCACCTTTCTTAAAATTAAAAGCTCGTAGTTGGTTGGAGAAAGCGCAAAAGCCTGGTGACCGGGACCGTCGACCACAGTGCTCCATGATGGCCTCCACAAAGGTAGCTCCAACCCATCCACCCCCATCCCATCCATCCTGTCTGTCTGTCTGTTTCTTACTTGACGCTCCCCCTCCTTCCTTCCCACACACACACCCACACCCCCTTAAAAGCATAATAAAAAAATTCTCTCTACACTCGTTTTTTGCTATTATTTTTATCATTATTATTATCATTGTTGGGAAAGAAAACTCATCTGATCTGTGACAAAAATTAAAGGATTCGTCGTCTTCCGTATCCCCACGATTTCCATCACGCCTCCCTCCCTCCCCAACAGCAAGTGCCCTCCCTATCAAAACCCCTCACCACAGAACCCACTCGATAGGCTCTGTAAATACCCACCGCATAACGCGACGGAAGAGTATGTCATCGACAGCCGGAACAGCCAACATGGCCGCCGTAGTCCAAGCAGTCAAGGAGGCCGCCGCTGAAATACCATTCTCGCTCCCAGCACCGACTGGGCTCGCTCGGAGTCCTGGTAAAGCGGGCAAGACACCGGTATTAGGGAATAGCGGATATCCTAGCCCGCCAAGCAGCCTACCCACTTCAACAGTAGTCCCGGGCCCGACGCTCAGCGGCAATAACAACAGTAACAGCAATGCAACGGCAGAGGAGAACCTACAGTTCCCGAGGAAGACAGGGAGTCTGGAAAATGGTAGCGGTGATAGTGCAATTGCTGAGGGATATGGACCAGATGCGATGAAGAGCGCAGGAGGGAGACGTAGAGCGAGTGAGGGTGCACATCTAGTGTTGGGAGGCGCACCCGGGGGCAGCAGGGCGAGGAGTGGGAGCGAACTAAAGTGTGACAAGTGTGGGAAGGGGTATAAACATAGTTCTTGTTTGACGAAACATTTGTTTGTGCTCCCCCTCCATCTTCTCATCCGTGTTGTTGTTTCTGTTATATACTTCTTTGGGTTGGTTCGCAAGAACCGGAATTATTATCATTGCTCTTTGCTGCAACCAATCACTCCTACCCCACACTTTGTTTTTTTCTTTTTTCCTTTCCTTTCTTGGCCTGGTCCTGTCTGGTCCCAACATATACATACCCCCAGCTTTCTTTACATAGTGGATATGCTATTAATGACACTGGGAATTTCTTCTTCAAACCATTGTTTTCCCCTTCATTCCCATTACTATTGACCCATGCCCAACACAGCACATCACCCGCAAAAACATAAGAAAAATGAGGTTAATTTTACTTACGCCCTATGATATAGATGGGAACACACGCCTGAATGGTCTTACACCTCTAAGCTCCTAATATCCAAGCACCAGCAAGTACAGCTCCTCGAAGCCGCCTCTATTCTTGTTTCCATGAACCCGAGCACCACGCCCCCGACTTCCAACTCCGGCGCCGACCACGACAGCTCGTCATCTTCCTCGGAGGACACTACACCCCCGCCGCACTCAGACATTGGCAGCCCAACCCCACGCGGTATCCGCAACGGCGCCGGCAAACCTGGAAAACGCCTCTCCGGATCATATCCGCGCTCTTCCACCGCCCCGAATGCTACTGGCTTCCCGAGCCATTTCGTGCAGAAACACACGACGCCGAGGCAGAGAACGAGGATTACACCCTCAGAAGATGAGGCGCTGGCGTCGGCAATTGAGCTACTAAGTTGCTCGTTTAGGACAATTGGGAGCCCACAGCCATCACTCGTAGTAGGAAGCTTGTTGGGACGGGTAAACGAGGTGAAGAGGGAGGAGGAGGAAGAAGAGGACGAAGGCGATGTGAGTATGGTGGATCTGGAAGAGAGTGGGAGTGAGGTTGAGGGGTGGGGTGGGAGACGTGGGAGCGACGAGGAGGAGGACGGCGTCTTTGGCAGGATGGAGGAATAATGGGTCTTTTGGGTTGGTTGGAGGGTTGGGGGGTTCCAATTTTGGGTGCGCAAATTGGATCAGTAACTCGATCAATCTAGGTAGAAATCTCGCATCCTTCGGGACAAAGAGAGTTTTCACCCTAATCCTCGAGTCACTAGCCAATTTGTCCAGCTAAATCCCTCCCGTGAGGGAAAAATGGGATATACTGCGTATGCATTGTATAAATTTTGGGGTTTGGTTTTTTTGGTTGTTGCTTCTTTTGGCCTGACTGCAATTTTTTAGTTGTCGTTGATGTTGGGTCGGTGGACTTTGGGATCGGAGCGGTTTTATTCCCTGCGATTGATTATTTTCCTGTCCGTTTTTTTTTTCTTTTTTTCTTTCTTTTGTGGGTACTCTGGGTGGTTTCTTCTTTCCTGTTCCTTGTTTCCTTATCTTTCCTTTTTTTTTTCTCTCTTCTTTTTATAACTTTCACGGATGATCCGCGCGCGCCGGACCGTCCGGCGACGACGATAAGGATCGATCTCGATAGCTAGCTATCCAGGGCCTCCCTCTTATTTACGGTCGGTCGGTACCCTACTACTATATTTAAAAATAAATAAATAAATAAATAAACGAAAGATAAATAACCTTTGTGTTCCTCTGTTTGCATGGGCCCTGATGTCATTGACTGCCAGGAAAAACGAAATCGGGCTGAGAGAGGGGGTGGGTAGGGGAGAGGCGGCCGGGCGGCGGGACGTTGTGTGCGTTTGCAGTTTTGTTTTTTGTTTTTTGCCTTTGCATTGCAACGTTTGGTGTTGATTAAACTTGTTTCACTTACCTTGTCTGAGAAATTTGAGTTTGGGTCGCTAAGGTCAGGTGATTTTGGTGATTGTGGCGACATAATATGCAGGTAAGCAAGTGAGAGGTGGGAGGAGAAGGGAGGGTTTATCATAGGTGGGTTCGGAGGAGAAAAGAGGGGGAAGAGGGCTGAAAATCGGACGTAGGGCTGTGAGTGGTGTTTGATGTTGCATGTTTTGGGTTGTATCGATATGAGTGATATGAGTAGAAAGTAGATAGGCTAGGTGTCGACCTCACAGATGGGTAACGACTATCTATGATTGGTATTGTAGACAACCTCATGCTCACGCCAGAATGGCAATTGAAATTCCAGGATGGAACCATAGTGAACGCAGAGTTCCATAATGTCAGTCTATCATGGGTTTTCTACGACCAGTTTTATTAATTCCATCGGATGATAAAGATTTTGTCGTGGGTTCTCATGAAATTATTGTATGTGCAGTACTCTATTGCAGCGTGTACATCATATGTGCCTCTGCGTCATCTAGGAAGCGCATTGATAGGAATTGACGATTGTGGCTTACAACCTTCGATCATTCTTCTCTCTCTCTTCTGAGTCTTCTCTTCTACTCCGCAAGAATTCCGGGCCCCGCCTCACCAGTGCAGTGTTTCGGAGCTTAAAACGGACGGGGAGGGGAGGGGAAAAAATAGAAAGAAGGATTCCGGCCGGGGGGTAGACCTCATATCAGATGAGATGACGGTGCTGGCACAGCATGTCATGCAAACCTGCCAGGAAAAGACTGATGAGATCGGCAGTTAGAGCAAGATCGCCCTTCTGAAGATTGGACGGAAGCTTTTTATTTTTTCCCCTCAGACAGTGAGAAAAAAAGTTGGGGCTGCGATACCGACACTACATACAGCAGCGACGTGTCTGCTACAGATCTTCGCCGGCGCCGTCGCCGCAGCAGCAGCAGCGAGATGCGGGGTGGTCCCTGCGTCGTGAATGATGTAATATGTGTGAGGTGGTGGTAGGTATTTTTGTTGCTGTTGAGAAGGCCGAGGAGCGGGCTGTGTGCACGTGCTGGCCATGGGGAAGTGGTATCAAGATTCTTGATTGACTTTTTTATGCAGCGCCAGTCACTGACTCGCTGGCTGGCTCACTCACCTGAAGTATTCGAAATACTTGTTCTGCAGCTGCGTAAACACATGTAGATTAGAGTAGTCTTTTTACTATTGCATAGCATAGCATAGCATCTATCTGAATTGGAGTAAGTAAACAGTAGCCACGAGGCCGGAAGGCAAGCTCTTGGTTTCTCCGAGAGAAGGAGAGATGAGCTGTTCTCTCAATATGATGTAACGAGGTAGTTATTTTGAAAATTGATTCCGTCAGTTCGTCACTTTGAAGAGTTTTTTCTATTTCCGTCGGGAGGGATGCCAGTGGTCGTGGGAGGTTGTGTATGGCAGGGAGCTATCAAGACTTTTAGACTGGACCAGTTCCCAGGATTTCTGAACCCTCGTGTGCTCTGCCGAAGATTGGTGAGCCTATGGGATTACTCGGACCAGATGTACGAGTGCGTGACCTCTGAAAAGCAAAGTTTGTAGAACACACTTGACTTTCTCTAGAAACTTAGTTAGAAGTAGTAATTGTAGCTTTGGGAATGTGCAGACAGATGCCAGAAGCCAATGCGGAGCTCTGAGTGGTCCAATTGGTACATTGGAGCATGTAAATTACCATGAACCAGGATACAGCCTGTTGACTGCTTCCATACTAAGAATACCAAGAGAAACGAACCCATAAGAAACAAACTGATTTCAACTCTCAGTCCCAAAGTATTTCCAACTTTCCAAGATGGACGCCGAGTAGCCGTGCAAACTTGGAAAAAATTGCTTAAACAAGAGAATGTGTACAGCTGGCCATCTCGCCTAGCGAATCGCAAGCAGAGCGGGATACCCACTTTCTGCAGCCTCAATTCGGTTGGGGGGAGCACACAACAACACGCCTGTCAACGAGAGCACCCGAGGCGAAAAGGGGAAAGGCCGAGAGAGCAATGGAGGGGCTTAGGTGGGGAGGTTGCGACAACGCAGAATTACTACATACATCGAACCCCTCTGACCTACACGCTGCTTCTCGCTCAATAGCTTGCACACACAGCACACACACACAGACGCCTGAACACGTATGCAGCAGCAGCAAGCAGCGACAAGCAGCAGCAGAAGCAGTGAGAGTGAGAGAAGCAGCAGCAGAAGCAGCAGGAAGCACAGGAAGCATGGCAGAAGCAGCAGGAAGCAGAAGCAGATGAGACTCACTGGCCTCTCACCGCCCCTCCTTTTCCTCACTGGCGTCCCGATTAACTCCGTTTAGATATTGAGAAAGGGATAATGGATGGGAAAGCGAGAGCGACTGGCATATGGAGCAGAGTGCGAATACGGCCAGAAGAGATAAATCACCCTCTCGAATTAGAATTACTCCTCTATGTATCTCTCATCCTGACAGGGCGAGACGTCTGTGAGGCAAATTAGACGCCGCGCCATTGGATTCTGCAACTACCATTGGACGACAAGGCAAGAGGGGATCATTTGGATTGGGGATTGGGATGTCCCATGTACATACAGTAACAACAACAACATGGCAGTCTTTTTTCTCTTTGGCTTCGCTGGCCAGCGTGGCCGGCGATCTGGCAGCTCTACATGATATTCTACTTTACGCTCTCTTACTGTCTGTCTATCTGTCTGTATCACCGCTACCCATCCATCTTCCCTTCTTTCCTTCTTTCTCTTCCCCCTCCGCCGCCGCCTCCCCACCCCCCTCCTCTAATACAGATCCTACCTATCTACATAGCTTTCTCAGCTTTTGAGTACATCTCGCTGTCAATTCCTGCCTGTGCCCCTCATTCTTCCCTTTTTCCACCATCCCCTCCTTTACACACACCCTCTCATTAAATCTATTCACCACTCAGCTCCCCTCCTCCCGCTGTCATCATTTGGTCCTTGGTACATCAGCTTTCTCTGCTTCCACATTCCCGGGAATTTATTGGGAAATAAAAAAGATACACAACCGGAGGCAATCTAGGTGTACCCGCTACTACCCCACACACACCCACACAACACGTCTCCTTACCTTTTTTATATTTTCTTCCCTTTGATAGTCGCATCTAGCCAACCTTGGTGACCCAAACACAGAGGACAAATTTTAAAACAAATCACTCTGATCGAATCGTGTGTGCTACAAACGTGTGGACACATACAATATTATCTACCACTCGTCATCACCCATCTGCCTCTGAGACATACATAGATTTGCCCCAAGTTGCCACCCATTGGTATATATCTGACCTCTTCTTGATGTTGCTCCTCGGACGCAGCTATTTTGTTATCATTGATCTGGGCTCTAATTCCCTACCTGGCTAGAAGTTAAACCTCAGTAGTACCCTACGTACAAGCATATATACTTGTATCCATCACCGGATCTTAAATAATAATCCCTACCGGTCATCAAGAGTCACGCCTGCGTTGTCTCTTAGATCTCCCAAACTGATTTCCAGTCGCCCAATCTCCAAGAAGTTCCGCCAGACTCAACGGACATCAGCAAGTCGATTAAAACAGCATCGCCCTAAAAGATTAAATCTGAGTAGGCAACCGGAAACTACAGATATGGCAGCTTCAATAGTTCATATTCCGCTGTCTCCAATGACCTTGGAGATCAACTCTGTTTCTTCGGAATACGTTACTTGGGTGGTATGTCTTGCGAACTTGCTTATTCCGGAGGTAGATAAAGTTGTTAACTCCTTTGCTTGATAGTATCGATGGCGAAATGTCGATCTATCCGCCGACTTCGAGACGTATGCTACAAGCCCAAGTTAAAACCCAACCAGGGACTTATAAACTGATTATTACAGATATTCCCAAAACTTCGGTCATCCAGATGGTTGGGTCTGGCGCATGCTGTTCCAGCAGAACGTCGATGCCAACGGCAACCGTGTCTACGGGATCTTCCTCTACGTTGTAATGACCGACAACGAGCTTCAAGAGCGAACATGGACTCGTGACATTAGATATCTCCAATTTGTCATCCTTAACTCGGAAGGCCGACAGCTTAAGGACAAGAGCACAGTTGCTGTCTACCGCGAGAACCAGCTATCATGGGGCTTCCCCGGACTACTCGACAACAGCATTCTACTCCGGGACCCTGTGGTGAATTCAAGACGTACGATTGACATTGTCTGTCGTCTACGGTACCATCC